AGGGTGCAACAATGAATGAATGGAATCCCAAAATCTCTGTAGATGTTCATTGAAATGAAAAATAAACAACCTAAATTTAAAAAAAAAAAAAGAGTCAGGGAAGAGAAAAGAAAAAAAAAACACAACAAAAAAACCCACCTCAGTCATTTGTGTCTGTTCCTAACAGGAACATTTCTGATTATTCTGTGTCACTATATAATCTAACACTAAAGCTGGATTTTGTACCTCCTGTAAGTATTTATGAAACACAACTAGCTTTATGTCTTTCCTTCTCAAAGATCTTTGGTGATTTATTAGAAAAACATTCTTCCTCTTAGAACTAGCATTCAGAGCCCTCAGTAATCTGCCCCATTTCTCTGTTTTATGTAGCCTCTGAACTACATCCGTAATTGAACTCAGAGCCATGTGTGTGTTCACTGTCTTCTGCATGCATTGTTCTCTTTCATGTTTTGTCTCACACTGTTTCTCAACATACAGTAATCTGGCTTTGCCATTTGAGGACCTGTCTATTCTTACCTCCTTATTCAGATTCTGTTTTTCCTTGAAAACTTTGCTGATGATTCCAGCTTACTTTAATCTCATTGTTCTTGAAGTTTATGCACACTTATCCATAATACTCAGTTTTTATATTTGTATGACTTTGAGTTTTGTCCTCTGATTGGTTTTTCCAATGTAAGTCTTTTACCCTTTTAGCAAAATTGTAAACATAAAATGGGCTAAACTTCCTCATTCATTGCTTAATTGAGCATTTAAAAATCGCTTGGTAGAGGAAGGTTTTCTACCTTGTCCTTGAAGAGTTTCTTACTTCTTTGGACTACTTCTGAATCATATTGTCAACTGCTAACTTTTAGGATCAGCTGTTGTGTTTTTGTAAAGAAATATTCTGTTGATTTTTTAATTGGTATTGCATTTAAGTATTATATAAATTTCAAGAGAACTGATATTTTAATATTAGTCAGTCTTTTACTGAGGAGATTAGAATAGCTGCCCACTGGATCAGATGAATTCAAGAGCTGGACCGTGAATAAGCATGACAGAAAAAGCATCACTGCCTTTGAGCTTTGGTGTTGGAGACGAGTACTGAATATCTTGTGGCTGCCCTAAGAACAAATGTGTCCTGAGCAAAAGTGCAGCCAGAATGCTCCTTGAAGAAGGGGTGGTGAAGCTTCATCTCACATACTTTGGGTATGTTGCTTGGAAAGGCTGATCCTTGGAAAGGGATACCATACTTGGAAAAGTGGAGGGTCAGAAAAAGAGAGGAAGACCCTCAATGAGATAGATTGGTGTGGTGACTACAGCCATGGGCTCAAGTGTGTCAGATGTTGGGAGGATGGTGCAGGACAGGACAAGGGTCAGATCTTTTGTTCACAGGATCGGTGTGAGTTGTTCTCAACTTGATGATACTTGATGATATCAAAACCAGCTGTTTAATTAGGCTTGACAGGAAGTTTAAAATAGATTTTTTCGTTCTCTTTTGAGTTTTTTGTATATATTTTGCTAATTTTTTTTTAGTATTTTTATGATTTTATAAATTATATTTTTAAAAGTTTTGACTTTTTTACTTTATTTTTTACTTTCATATACTTTCATTTTATCCAGCAAATTTTAGCTATGTTGATTTTTTAAAAATTTTCCCTGTATACATGCACATGGTAGATGCTAACAAGAAATTTGTCTCTTTCTTTTAATTCTTAGACCTTTTCTTTTTGTTGCTGTAATGTATCAGCTACATTGAGAATAGCAGTGGTCCTAGCAGGCATACTTGCCTTGTTCAACATGTCAGTGTTATATATGATGGTTACTGTAGCTGTGTCTTTAACTTTGAATTTTGAGGTAATTATAGACTTACAGAAAGGTTGCAAAAGTAACCCAGGTTTCCAGTGTACCCTTCACCCAGCTATCCCTTTGCTGGCATCTTACATAAGCCAAGAACAAGAACCGAAATGAACAAATGTTAATGGAATAAAGGGGCACTCTGGTGGCCTAGTAGTAAGGAGCTACACTGCAATTCCGAAGGCACGCAGTTCGAATCCACTAGCTACTCCACAGGAGAAGAATGAGCAGTCTCCTGCTGTGTGATTAACTGCCTCTGAAAACCCACTGGAGGGTCAGCTATGGGTTAGAAGGTCAGCTGTGGATCGGTTCCAACTCTACAGTACACAACAACAAAAACCAATAGATTAAATATAATAAATACTACAGACGGTACTTAGATTTCATTCTTTCCCCCACTCATGTTCATTTTCTACTTCACAATTCAATTCTAGATCCAATCCTTATAGCCTATAATCTGTCTTTGCCTTTTTTTTTAACCCTAACACTTTTGGAATAAGCTGGGTTTGTTCATTGCAGGCAGTCACTAGGTTATGAACGAGTCGCATTCCTAAGTATACTGTTGAGTCTACTTAAGCCTTTAAGTTGAATGTGTAGGTAAATTGGAACAAGTGCACCTGGTTTTTATTTAGCCTTTACTGCTTTGGTGCCTCAGTGCATAATGCATTGTATGTTGGGCTGGTACTGAAGATTGGTGGTTCAAATCCCCCAGCTTCTCTGTGGGAGAAAGATGAGACCGTTTCCTCCTGTAAAGATTTACGGCATTGAAGCTAGCTCTGTATTTTGCTTAGCTGTATATGTTTTTGCAGAAATATTTTTAAAGTTGGTAATATTAAAGCCATGTTATGAACTTACGGATAATTGAGATCATTAAGGTTCCTGAAAATAGCTACATCTGGTAAAAAAAAAAAAAAGATTTACAGTGTTGGAGTCAGCAAGACTTAGAATCAGCTCAAGAGTAGTGGGTTTGTATTTTTTGTTTGTTTCATTTAAGAAGAGATTTGAAGCCTTTTCAAGAATATAAAAGCTATGCCTGCTACAGCAAGTGAAGGTGAGTGTGATGAATAATGTATGTCAGTAGGAGTTGCTTTCCCTGTTTCACATTCAGGGCAAGTTGCAGAACATGTACGGGCTCAGACATATCAGTGATTGTGAGGGTGATGCAGGACCGGGCAGTGTGTCCTTCTGCTGTAACAAGGTCTCCATGAGGAGGAACTGACTTGGTGACACTTAATCTAACCAGCCTGATGGGCAAGTACAAGGTATCTGTGAGTCTGATGTTTGTAACCCAGGGACTACTTGTAATAGCAAAGATGCCACAGAAGCCTTCACTGGGTATTACGTTAGTGGTCATTGGTATTGATGTTTATGATGAGTGATCATCACCCTTATCACTTGGTTAACGTGGCGTCTGCCAGGATATTCCACTGTGGAGCTGCCGTTTGCCCTTGTAATTCCTCGTCCTACAACCCAGTCCTACACTGTTTATTTTGTTGTTTAAATTGTTCCACCCTTCAACTGATTTTTGACAAGGAGATGAAATCAGTTTAGTAGGAATATGACAGCCTTTTTAACAAATGGTGTTGGCAAAATTGGAAACTGTCTGCAGACAACTGAAGCAAGATCCACACCTCACTCCATATACAAAAACCAACTCAGGATGGATCATGGACCTAGGACTAAAACGAAGGACTATAAACTACATTAAAGAAGAGCTTGGAAGAACTCTGGAAGTCCTAATCCACAATAAAAACAGTCTTCCAAGCATCCTGAAAAATCTGCTATCAGGAGAGGATATAATAGATGAATGGGACCTTCTAAGAATCACATCCCTATGAACATCCAACAGCTTCTCCAACAGGGTAAAAAGGGAAGCCACAGACTGGGAAAAAATATTTGGTAATGACATGTCAGATAAGGGACTTATATCTAGAATTTAAAAAATACTCGAGCATCACAACAAGATAAAGAGAAACAACCCAGTTGAAAAATGGGCACAGGATATGAACAGACACTTCACCAAAGAAGATACTCAAATGGCAAACAAACACATGAAGAAATATTAAAAATCCCTATACTGCACTGAAACAGAAGAGGGAGAGAATAATTTAAAAGCGACGTATGATAGGGTATTATGGTTATCACAAGAGTGCACAATTAAGGTTGCATAGTGGAATGTACTTGGGGTGGTGGGAGGGGTGCAGGGGGATTGTGTACCAGGGAGGGAGTTTTTCTTTTACTTTTCAAAGAGAGGAGCGAACTGGGGAGGGGGTGTGCTGGGTGGGGAGAGAAGTTCAGCAATGAATGAATAGAAATCCAAAATCTCTGTAAATGTTCACTAAAATTATTAAAATAATAATAATTTTAAAAATCCCTAGCTCTGGGATACAAATCAAAACAACTATTAGATATCATCTCACCCCAGTAAGAATAGCAAAATTTAACAGAACAACAAACCACAAATGCTGGTGAGGTTGTGGAGAAACTGGAACCCTTATTCACTGTTGGTGGGAGTGTAAAATGGTGCAACTACTATGGAAGGCTGTATGGCGCTTTCTCAAAAAATTGGAAATAGAAATGCTATT